ACAGCAGGGCCCATCCCAGCCCAGCTTCAGCTCAAGCAGAGACGAGCCGGCTGGTGGCGGCGGCTCCCAGCCCTTGCCGGTGCAGGGCCTCCGACCGAGCGGGGCCTCGGCCCGGGACGCTCCGGGAGCCCGCCGCGGCTGGCAGCAGGAGGAAGCGGCGGCGTCGCGTCCCGAGCGGTGCGCGCCATGGCGGGCGGGCCCCCCAAGGCCCTGCCGTCCACGGGGCCCCACTCCCTGCGCGACATGCCGCACCCGTTGGCCGGCTCCAGCAGCGAGGAGGCCGTGGGAGGCGACAGCACGCCCAGCCCGGACCTGCTGATGGCCCGAAGCTTCGGTGACAAGGTGGGGCGCATGGGGCTGGAGACTGGGAGGCTTATTTCACTCCCGGAGGGGATGATGGATCGGAAGCCACCCTAGGCACGGGGCCGCGCCCACCCTGGTGCCTTCGGGGGTACGGGCGTGACCTCGTCCCCAGAGCCCTCCGAAAAAGCGTCGTCTCTCCGCCGCCCCCGCGGGGTCGCAGCCGCAGGGGAGTAGCCGGAGGGGACGGGCTTCCCTGGCTGTGACTGGTCGCGAGCGTCGGTGACAGCTGGTGGGGAGGGGTCCCGCCTGCGTGTTGGGGCCAGAGGCTTGTGTACAGTGCTCGGTGCCTGTGTCTCGGGATGGGATCTCAGGTTCCTCCAGGTGCATCCCTGAAGGCCGAGCTGCTGAATAACTTGTAGCTCCTCCAGTTTCCTGAGACTGCAAAGAAGCGAGTTAATGGCTTTCCGCGGTAGGACCGGGCAGCCTTGGTCTTAATGAGAGAGTCGTCGTCTTAACCCCAGTCAGTCATGTGGGGGGCGATCTTTGTTTAGATTTGCTGTTTGCCCCGAGGAGTCACCTGACTCAGACCCCAGCCAGCGGCGAGAGTAGAGTCTGGCTGTGGTTTTCTGTCTGGGGCTCCATTCACCTCCGACAGCCTACCGCACTGTTTAGGTTTGGCAGAGCCTGGTTTTGTGGTTGATGGAAAGAAAGCTCGCCCTTTGACCTTCTTTGTGCAGAGGGAGGTTCTTGATTTTCTTAGAGCGGCACAACCCTTCTGCTGCTTTGAGAGACAGCTGAGTCTGGTGAGGGTGAGGGGCGGCATCCCCGCGCCCCTCCCATTACGATTTCAGCTGTGACCGGTCTTGAGCAGTGATTGTGTCAGCGCTCCTGTTGCCAGTTAGTCACTAGTTGCAGAAATTAGAATTATTCTCAGCAATTGTGATCAGCATTTTCGCCTTATAAAATACTAAATGAGTTCCTCCTTGTCCCAATAGTAATGGAATCAGGGGCCCTAACTTTCTTCTCTCCCTTATTTAGGAGGGCATGTGGTACAGTAAAAATGAGTATGAGACAGTCTAATTTGCTGGCCTTATGGTCAGAAGGGCACTGAGTGCTCAAAATACCTAGGCAGATCCCCCCACGGGCCAGCCGCAATAAAATAAAATAAAATAGCTAGGGAGTGGGACTTGATGTACTTTTCAGAGAGGCTTTGTGAAAGTGGGGGTGGGGGTAAAGCATTAGGGAAAGAAAACTTAAAAAGCGAATGAAACCAATGGATCGAGCAGCTCAAGATGTGTGTGTGTGGCTCTTTGTGATTATTTATTTTATAGACGATTATAGAGTGTATGAAGGCTTATTTCACTTGGAAATACCTTGCTAGTGTTAGACATTCAAAAAGTCATTCAGTGAATGACTGAATAAAATGTTGCTTTTTTATGGACAGAGAAATTGGTCTTGAACGTAGGATAGAAACTGAGGTTAAACCTTCTGAGTTCCTTCTCAGTTCTGTGTAGGATAGTGAATTAATTATCTGTTGCTGTGTTACAAATCAACCAAGAATTTAGCACTTGAAAATAGTGTCTGTGAGTCAAAAATCTGGGAGCAGCTTACCTTGGTTCTGACTCATGAGGTTGCAGTCAGGCTGTTGGCTTGGGTTGCAGTCATCTGAAGGCTGGATTGGGGGAGGATCCACTTCCAAACTCACTCACGTGGCTGTTGGCAGGCCTTAGTTACTCTCCATAGAGCTGTTCGACATGGCAATTGGTTGATCCCAGAGCAAGAGAGCCCAAGACTCCAGCTAGTCTTGTATAACCTAATCTCAGAAGTGACATACCTCTGCCGAATTCTACTGGTCACACAGACTGACACTGGTACAATGTGGGAAGACGGTATGAATACCAGGGTGTGAATAACAGGGAGGTGGGCATCACTGGGACCATCTTGGAGGCTAGCTACCACAGATAGCTATTTAAAATTTTTGCTTAATGATCAGCTCTTGGACGATACCTCACTTAGAAGTATGGGCATTTTGGGGCCGGCCCGGTGGCGCACTGGATAGGTGCGCTGCTTGGGAAGCGCGGCGGCGCTCCTGCCCGAGGGTTCGGATCCCACATACAGACCGGTTCCCGCTCACTGGCTGAGCGAGGCGCGGGAGCGGCGCCGAGGGTTGTGATCCCGTTGCCGGTCCCCGGTCTGGTGCGGGGGCGACACTGAGGGTTGTGATCCGTTGCCGGACACGGAAAAAGATAAAAGACAAAA